GGGAACATGCAGATCTGTCCTCACAGAGGAGGGAGAGCTTGCACCTGAATAAAACTTGGTCTTAAAGGTGCCACTGGACTGTTTTGGACTGGGGGGCCGGGGGGAGCTCTGCAACTTACCTGGCTGCTTCTTGCTCTGACTGAGAGCTGCTGGGAGCAGGGGGCGGGGCTTGGTGCATGTGCCCGCCCCCTGGGCTCTTTACTGCTGGAGCTCTGCTCCTGTGCACTCCTGCAGGAAATGACCCCTGGGAGGAGCTTTCGTGAGTCACTGGTATCTGAAGAAGTGATCGGTGATTCACGAAAGCTCCTCCCCTGCCACAAATTCTGTTCGGCTTTAAGGTGCTGCTGGAGTCTTGTTCCTCTCTCTGCAATGTTCTGCAAATCATGGCTTTCAGTTGGAAACCAGAGGTCCTGGGCCATGCATTGCTGTAATCGATACTTTGCTGCATGGGCTGGCCATGATTCCACTCTTCTGACCCACTCTTCTTTTTTAAAATACATTTTTTATTTTACCATTTAAGAGGGGTTACAGAAAGAAAGAAAAGGTTTACCCGTGTGCCGCGCAACAGAGTGAGCTCCTGTCTCTGGCCCCAGCTCCTGCCAACCTAGCAGTTCGAAAGCAAGGAATTGCAAGTAGATAAATAGGTACCGCTTCGGTGGGAAGGAAACAGCGTTCTGTGCACCTGAGCATTTAGTCATGCCAGCCACATGACCAGGGCCGGCTCCAGCTTATTTTGCACCCTAGGTGAGGATCCCTTCCCCCCCCCCCATGCGCCCACCAATTTTAAAAATAAATGCATTTTAGGAAGAATGAAAAACTCAAATAATCAAGAAACTCCCAGAGTACGGGGCCGGGTGCAGTTTGGTGCCCCTAAGGGCCGTCCCGCTCTAGGCGATCGCCTAGTTTGCCTAGTGAGTGAGCCGGCCCTGCACATGACCACAGAAATGCCTTCAGACAGCGCTGGCTCTTCGGCTTGGAAACGAAGATGAGCACTGCCCCTTAGAGTTAGATTCAACTGGTTTTTGAGCAAGGGAAACCTTTACCTTTACCTTACAGAAAGAAAAGGGAAAAGTGAGAAGCATAAAACATCATTTGTTAAACACATTCTAAGGGCATTGCATAATATAAAAATATAAAACATAAAAAAGTAACATAGCAAAGAATATCACAGTATATCAAAATATGATAAAATAATCAGGACTTCAGCATAATATATTTCCATGTATATTTCCATTATTTCCTATTTATAGGGCTAGGTAGAAAAACATATAATCGAGAAATGCAAGAAAGAAGTAAGAAAACATTTTTCTTTATACAAGGTTGTTAATACTATCATGTAATAACTAGTAAATACGTAACTATAAAAGACTAATGAATACATAGCTACAATAATATAATCATACGGTTTTGAGTATTAATCAATTCAGATTTCTTTATCGCTCCTCTAACAGCTTTATCCAATCTATGTAGTTTGTCTGTAGTCATTACAAAAGGCTCTCTACTTAGTCTCGAATTCAGCTCTGACCCGTGTTCCCTCCAAGCTGAGTTAGTGTGAGCCAGCTCTCAGTTTTTTAGCCTCCGGCTCACAAATTTTTGTCTCCGCTCAGGAAGGATGGCTCCAGGGCAACTAATTTATGCAGGAGCCAAATCGCTCGCTCACAGCTTTAAGGCCAGTCGCTCACCAAGTAGAATTTTTGATCACAAGACTCCACAGCTTTGATGGAGCATCGGTTCTGACCAGGGGTCATTTCCTGCAGGAGCGCACAGGAGCGGAGCTCCGGCAGTAAAGAGCCCAGAGGGCGGGCACATGCAACAAGCCCCACCCCCTGCTCCCAGCAGACCTCAGTCAGCGCAAGAAGCAGCCAGGTAAGTTGCAGAGCCCCCCACCCCCGTCCAAAACAGTCCAGTGGTACCTTTAAGACCAAGTTTTATTCAGGTACAAGCTCTCCCTCCTCTGCGAGGACTGATCTGCACGTTCCCCCCACCCCCCCAAATAGCTAGCAATCCAAAACAGTCCAGTGGAGCCCGAGCGGTGGGTGTTGCCTTCTGACACACTTCCGGTGATGTCAGGGTGCAAATAAGTTATGCTAATGAGCGCCTGCACCTCTTTTTCTACGAAATGACCCCTGGTTCTGACCCAATCTTCGTGGCTCTCGGCCTCTCTCCGACACCAGCTTCCCAGTCACTCATGCCTTCCCCTTTGTATCCTCCAGGTGAATCGTCCCCTGGCGATGCGCAAGGACGGCATCCAGACGCGGAATCGTAAGGTCTCCTCGGCCAAGTCCAAGAAGCGCAAGGCAAATTCTGGGGACGTGGCGATGGCCTTGACCCCCTCCTTAGAGCTCCTGCCGCCTCCCCTGATGGGAGATGAAGCCGCTGCCCTCTATGCCTTCAACCCCATGATGCTGTCAGGACATCTACACCCTTTTGGACCCAATCCGCATCGCCTAGGGCCTCCCTCTGGCTTTCCTCCCCAGCCTTCTCCTGCCCCGCACAGCTCCCCCGGGGTCATCTCTGCACTGGTGTAAAGCCTCCTCTAACCTCATACGTCTGTGTAGAATGACTCTGGGCCATCGTCATTAAGGCGGGAGGATTTTGCCGTGGGAGCCGGCATCCGAACTGGGCGTGGTCCGGGTCCCCTCCGCTCATCAGAGAAGACAGAGACTTTCTCGCGATCAGGAAACGGGGTGGTAAAACTGTACCTGGACCGAACCGCTTCTGCTGGTGGACGAGGGGAGAGGTCCCCTGGCTGGATGCTTCCCCGTGGAAGGACGGAATCCCTGCCCGTATAAAGCGAGCGTGTCAGAGAAAGGGTAGGCTGGAGGTTTAGTTGGCTATGGGCTGGAGGATTAGAGCTCTGTTGTAGGAAGTGGTACGGTCCAGGAACAGCTTTGCCACCACCACCCCCTGAACTGCTGCATGGACTGAAACAAGCAATCCATCTATCCCGCTTCAAATGTTCCCCTTTTGGCCCATTCTGCTAGAATTTACTCTTTACAGCCCATCTGTATACTTCCGGCCCCACACAGAATCATAGAGTTGGAAGGGACCTCCAGGGTCATCCAGTCCAACCCTCTGCACAATGCGGGAAATTCACAAATACCTCCCCCCCACACACATCCCCAGTGACCCCTGTTCCATGACCAGACGAGGGCAAAAAAAACCCCAAATCCTCCAGGATCCCTAGCCAAACTGGCCTGGAGAAAAATTGCTTCCTGACCCTAAAGTGGCGATCAGCATTTCCCTGGGGCGTGTAAGAAAGGGCCACAAGAACTAAGCAGTGAAGCAACCCTTCCCTTCTTGTGGTCTGCCTAAGTTCACAGAATCAGCAGTGTCTGTTCTTAGAGCCATGTGTCCGTTCCCATGAGAACTCTTCGGGCTCTAGGGCAATGCTCCCTCTAAGCTGTGGAGTCTTGTGAGCAAAAATTCTACTTTGTGAGCTACGGGCATTAAAGCTGTGAGTGAGCGATTTGGCTGCTCCATCAGTTAGTTTGCTCTGGAGCCCTCCTTCTCGAGCGGAGACAAAAATGTGTGAGCCGGAGGCTAAAAAACTGTGAGCTGGCTCACACTAACTCAGCTTAGAGGGAACACTGCTCTAGGGGTGGACAGGGCCTTCGAGGCCCTCTTGCCCACTGCAGCAAATCTAAAGCTAGAGCACCCCTGACAGGCGGCTCTCCAGGTTCTTCTCGAAGACCTCCAGCGAGAAAGAGCAGGTCAATAACATATCAGTTGCACTGACAAACCACTCCTATAGTTAGGAGGTCTCTCCTAAGGTTCAACCGAAGACCTATCTTCTGCCGTGTCTTGACGCTTCTGCAGCACCCCCAGGAAGGACTGCGTGCTCTCAGCAGGCTAACCAGAAGCATTTTCAGTCGCTTCAGACTGGCGAACAGACCTGGCCCGAGCAGAAATCTTCATTTTGCATTACTGCCGTCCAATCCGAGCAAACTCCAGTTTGTGCTTCTGGCAAACCGCAGTTCCAATAACCCCACGAACAGACTGTGGGCCCTTTTTGGTCAACTGGCCCATGACTTTTCGTTCATACGTTGCCCCATCCCGAGTCCTTTCTCAGATATCTCTCTGTCCTCTCCGTCTAGGGTTGCCAGCTCCAGGTTGGGAAACACCTGCAAGTTTGGGGGGTGGAGCCTGAAGAGGGTGGGGCTTGGCGAAGGGGAGGGACTTCAGTGGGGTATAATGCCACGGAGTCCACCTTCCAAAGCGGCCAATTTCTCCAGGTGAACTGATCATTCTTGGCTAGAGATCAGTTGTTATAGCGTGAGATCTCCAGCCACTACCTGGAGGTTGGCAACCCTACCATCATCATGTACAGTCAATTGTGCCACCAGAGACTGCCCATCCAGCTTCTCTAATAGTTATTGAGTTGTTTCCTCCCCATTATATGTGTCAGCTACATTCACCCGCAGAAACTAAGAAACACAGAGAGAGGGTTCTTTGACCCTAGAATCATAGCGTTGGAAGGGACCGCCACGGTCATCTAGTCCAACCCCCTGCACAATGCAGGAAATTCACAAATACCTCCCCCTCCACACCCCCAGTGGCCCCTGTCCCATGCCCAGAAGATGGCAAAAAATCCTCCAGGATCCCCGGGCCAAACCGACCTGGAGAACAATTGCTTTAAAGTGGCGATCAGCATTTCCCTGGTCATGTAAATAAGGGCCACAAGAACTAAGCACTGAGGCAACCCTTCCCACCCTCCCTCTCGTGATCTGCCCAAGTTCACAGAAGCAGCATTGCTGTCAGATGGCCTCTGCTTGAAAACCTCCCGAGAAGGAGAGTCCGCCACCTCCTGAGGAAGCCTGTTCCACTGAGGAACCGCTCTGTCAGGAAGTTCTTCTTAATGTTTTGCTGAATATCCTTCCCCGTTCCAGGGTGAGCATCAGCGGAGGCTTTGGTGGAGCAATCCCACGATGCTTTTCCACTGCCCACCCCTTTCATCACTAGTTGATACAAGTGGTAGAATCCGATGTCAAAGCCAATGGTGCTAGCCCTAGCTTAGCTCAAAATATGGCCTCTGTTAGAAACTAGCTGCCCGCCAGGACTATAGGTACATGTTCTATAGCAGGGGGTCCCCAACCCTTTTGAGCCTGTGGGCAACTTTGGGAAGGTAACAGCGGTCCGTGCGCCTTGGCATTTAGTCATGCTGGCCATATGACCATGGAAACGTCTTCAGACAGCGCTGGCTCTTCGGCTTGGAAACGGAGATCAGCACCGCACCCTAGAGTTGGATTCAACTAGCTTTCAAGCAAGGGAAACCTTTACCTTTACTATTGTCCTTAAGATGGAGCCAGGGCATGTTACGCTTTCATGCACAGACTGCACGAAGACGTAAAGACCATACAAATAGTCTTGGTTGATCAGTCCGACTCCAGCATTCTTTGCAAGAATCCCAGCAGTCGGTTGCCCACCAGGAAATGACCAGCAGTTTGCTGGTAGATCAAGACGTAACTTCTCTCTGTCTGACTGAGGGGTGTTGACTCTCAAAAGCGCGTATCCCAAAACTCTTGTTGGTCTCTGGTCCTTTCCGCACTTGAATCTCATCCCTGGTTTTATCAGAGTTCATATAACAGCATTTATCCCGGCACAAGTGTGGGGTGAAACTGGGGTGACCTCAATGTAATCTGGAAACAAAAAATACCCCGAGATAATTACAGGGGTGAACTCGAGTGTAGTGCAGAATGTAAGTTCGGGGACAGGGTTGAACAAGGATTTAAGGTCTAGTGTGGAAAGGACCAAAAAAGTGCTACTGAGCTCGAGTCTAACTGTTGTACTGCAGACCAACACAGCTGCTCTTTTCAATGACTTCCAAAAGATTGTTTCAGAAGGTGGCCGTGTTGATCTTCCATAGAAGTGCTAGATTGGAGTCCAGTCTAGGGATGCCATTCCCAAATTGGGGGCGGGGATCCCCGTTTTGGGGGCTCCTGCCTGCCACTGGCCGGTTGGCCAGTGGGGGAAAATCCCACCCCCAAATGCAATGTGCTGACGGCAGAGGCAATTCCCGCAGTAGTACAATCCCCCGTGTTGATGTTTTAAAATTTTCACATTATGTGAAGTTTTGCGCAGTAGATATTTCCTCACCAAGCGCAAACCCGAAGTTTACCCCGCCTTTTCAGAATCCCCAGTTTTACCGAGTTCCAAAAACGCAGTGCAAGACGGAGAAAACTTCAGGTTTGCGCCTGGTGGGGGGAAATATGCTGTGGAATATTTCACATAACGCACAGTTAAAAACATCAATGCGGGGAATATCACTACTGCGGAAATGGTCGATCGGAAGTGACATCATCAGATCGGCGACTTCCCGCAGCGACGTTCTGGTTTTTGGGCAAAACTCTGGGTCGGGAGCGGTTTTACCATAGAGATTTGCCCCAAAACCAGAGCGTCATGTGAGGTCAGCATGTCACGGCACTCTGCCCCCACTCCCGGAAAGTCCCTCACCCTCCCCTGCCGGCCCAGTCATCAGACCAGGCAGCCCTAGTCCAGCCACACCTTAGAGACCAGCAAGCGTTTCAAGGTGTGGGCTTTTGAGAGTCAGACACCCCCAGGAACCTTTGACTCTCAGGAGCTCATACCCTGAAAATCTTGTTGGTCTCGAAGGTGCGACTGGATTCGAATCCAGCACTTCTTCCCAAACCTGTTCTAGCCAACTCTTTTTCTACTCATCCCATCCTACTGTGGATTTTTAAAAAAGGTCAATTCCCCACCCTCAAGGGTTTGGCGTTCCATCATGAGAGCATCCACCTCGAATGGGGCCCAATGCGCATCTAGCTTGGTTGTTGTACCAAACCCACACTGGAACAGGAAAAGATGCGGCTCAAAACCACATTCAAATTCCCCCGGGCCAACGCCGCGGTACTGACTGCAGAGTCACCCCTGAACGGCCATAAAAGGGCCATAAATCTATGCAGACGGCTACCATAAAACCGAGAGATCAACGGAAGTGAGAGCAGCGCGCAGTCTGGACGCTGCCACAAAACCCGACAATCCATCAAAGTGGAAGTGGCAGGCAATGCAGAGGGGGATTTCTGTTTTTCCAGCGTGGGTTTGGTAAGACAGCAGTGCAAATGCGAGATACAGATTGGGCCCCAGTCCCACCTTCACCTCCTCATGGATTTCCAGCAGTTTCCCCTTGAGCCAAGGCCTTAATCTCCATCGCTGAAGCACCCCGTAATGGGGGTGGGGTGGGGAATAGGTGTTGTCTACTCCCTACGCTGGGATCTCTTCACCGGCTTTGTAAATTTCGCTGCTGAGCTTCCGTCGATGCCCCGCCACTTTGGGCGAAAATGCCATTTGAAGCTGAAAATAGACACGACGTTGCAATTGCAGCAGTGGTCAGGGCAGGCGAGCTCTTGCTCCTGTCCGTCTCAGCTGTGACCCTACTGCTCGGGCTCAAGGGTTTTCCTCCTGGGTTGGTAGGTTTCTCAAGTGCCTTCTGACGTATTGTATGTAATTAAAGCACATCGTTTTAAAGAAGTCTCAAGGGGGAATTTTCTTTTATTGGGTAAGGGCTGTG